CCACACTTTGTTCTTCCCCTACTCTGTATCTGAAGTCCCCCTCCCAACATTTCTGTTTCTCTGTGTATAGCAGGGTCAGAGGCACAGAAAGACTCAAGAAACACACACATGCTCACTCAGAAACCCAGACTCACAGGCAGAGACATCCCTCCCACACACACACACACACACACACACACACACACACACAGAGTCACCTCCAAGGACAACCCCCTCCTTACAGTGGGGATACAGACCCACAACCTGGTTACCCTGTAGGCAGGCTGCAGATACCTTGCCTGGGACCTTCACTTCCCCACTGAGCCCTGTTCTGGAGCCCCACACTGGCTCATCCTCACTCAGCAAGGTCTGACACATTTCCCCAGGAAGAGGGCGGACCAAAGCATGACAAACAACTCAGTCCCTAAGGGGACTGGGCGGGGGGAGGTTTGGAGAAGTATGATTCACGTCTGTGTAGCACTCGACAGGCCCAAAGCATTTCACGTCTAGTACCCGCCGTGGGCCTCAGAACAGCCCTAGCTCAGCACGCAGGTGAGCCTGGCTTTGCAATCAGGTGGCCCAGGCAGAGTCCCAGCACTGCAGCCAGTAGCTGTGGGACCTCAGGCAAGTCAGGTGGCACCGTGACATGCCACCTTCCCCACCTCGAGAGTCGCCAATCTGGGGACCACCGTTGTACCCAACCATACCACACAGTGCCACCACGTAACCTTGTCCATCCAACCCTTCCTTTTGTCATCTCTTGCTGACTCGGTCATGGTCCAATTCTTCATTTTGTCATCTCTTGCTGACTCAGTGATGTCCCCAGAGTGACTGTCCCAATGCTTTCCCACTCCCCATCTCATAATCCCATCCATCCTAACAAGTGACCTTTCTCCCACTTGGCTGAAAAGATGCATCTCTTGGACTTGCTCTTTCTTGCTTCCAAATTTCACCATCCTGAGACCTTTCCACCTGCCCCTTGACCCTCCCTCCCTCTCTGAGAGGAAGGAGCGATCCTTGACCTGGCCCAGCCTGATCTGCCCTCTGTCCTCCCCATCCCACCTTCTCCCACCCTCACTGGGACCTCCTCCCACCATGTATCCTCTCTGGGCCTTGAATCTACCACCTCTCCACCTTCTGGCTCCTTCCACCCCTCCTGCAAGACTGCGTAAGGCTTCACTTCCTTCCCCACTCCCTTCAATAAACACACTCCTTCAGAGAACAGCCTCTGGCCACCATATGCCCAACCGCAGGACTGACTACACCAGTCTCCAATGGCGGCTCATGACCATGCTCATGACCATGCCTTATCTCAGCTTCCAACCCCAGAGTATGGCCCTTCTGCTTACTCAACAAGCATTTACTGAGTGCCTTCATGTCTGGTGGGGAGCCCTCCTGAAGATGTTAAACATACTCCCAAGTGCTGGTCTCCACTGACAATACACACATGGATGGGAGACCCTGCTTCCGGTCCATAGGAGCCCAGAAATAGGTCCTGGTGTGACCCACTGCACTGGACAATGTTGATGCTCCGCCCACATCCCCACACATCTCCCTTCTTCCCACTTTCATGAGGTCCCACCACACTGGCTTCTGAAAGCCACAACAAGCCAACTTTTTGGGGGTCTGTTTTTAGATCTTCCTTTGAGCTACTGAGCCCACTTTGTCCCCACACAGGCATAGGCAGAAGTGCCTGGGAATTTGTGGCCCCGAAGCCCCTTAATCAAAGCCTAAATGGAACAAGAGAATGAACCCTCGGGTCCTTTGCCTCAGGTCAGAACAACTCTGGGGCATAACCCAGGCTCACAAGGAAGCCTGCAGGAGGGGCTGAAGCCGCCCTCTGTGGGATCTGCCCAACAACACATCCCTGCTTGTTTCCTGGGTGCCCAGCCTCCTCGGGGAGCACTTCCTTTGTACGTCACCTGCACACGAATCTCATCTCTGGGCCCTGCTGGGGAAACCTGACCTAAGACACCTGGCTTAGCTGGCATCCTAAGGAAGTCAAGGTTCAAAAAAGTTGCACAGGTAGGTTCCAGCATCACAGTGAAAATACC